CGACAGTCGCACCCCGCGTTGGTAAAGATCGTTTGATTTTCAAGCCAAACTCGTACCCGAGAAGAATAAATAATCACGGACATCGCACTTTGAATCCTGAGATATTTTGATGCCTTAATCGACAAAATCCGTAGCTTTATAAAAGGATGAAATCGATGTAAGTAATATAACTTGATGTTAAAAAAAGAAAGGAATTAATTTAGCATTAATTTTTTTTATTAATAAAGAAAAAATAATCTACATTACATTTTGAAATTTCTCACAATTGGTACACACAACATCGAACGTCGTATCTTTCTGCAAGAAGAGACACACGCGCCTATCATTCAGACACACTCATCGCCGATCATACCATAAGCTATCATGAGCGAACGGGATAGGAAAATCTCAGCGGATTGAGTCGTCATCATTGTTCTCAGTTTCAGGACAGAGTGTATCAAATCGCGCATTATAATTGGAACACTGGCACGGCACGTGGCGGAGCAACGAGCGCGCGATCACAGTAAGACCTGCTCGTATATTATTCCTACGGAATCATAATTCCGAGTCTCGATATCGAATCGAATTACACGGCGATCGTTGGCCGGATGAATTTGGACGTGCGGGCGATGAATCGGGCAAGGGATGGCCCGTCTTCGCACGCTTGTGTACGCACGCGAGTGCACGCGCGTCGAACGATAATGCGTTTTCGCGCCGTTGCAGCCGCCGATCGCTTCTCGTTGACGATATGCGTGTGCACGCGTGTGCGTGCATTTGCGCGCGATATATATATATATATATATATATATATATATATATACACTAGCTCGTTCTTTTTACGTGTCGCCCTCCTGCTGCATGGCACGAGCGGTCACGTGCCTCCGGTAACTATCCCCGCCCACCCTGGTTCACCCTGTCACCAAGCCACCCACTTTAGACGCCCCCGAGAGAAACTCCGGCCCGACCTACCCTCGTCACCTCCGCGACGAGCTTTTTCGCTCGCTTTTATGTCCTCTCGGTCCTTCTTTTTCACCCTCCTCGCAGCTGATGCAGAGCGCGCGCGTCCGTCACTTTAATAAAAACCTACTTACCTCCCCGGCGGCGCCGCGAATGAGGACGTGGCGCGTGTCGCTTGTCTTGGCGCGAAATTATCGTTGGACGATACCGCGCGATATCAACGATCCCTTCAAACGTGACATAATTGTATAAAGCCCATGGTACATGCAAAAACGTAATAGAGCGGTAAGAAGTAAGCAGTAAACGAATTGGCCAATATCGATTATTACTTAAACTGACTCTCTGCAATACAATAATCCGTTAATCATCACTCATACTAATGGTAAGTTAGAATTGAAATATTCGTAAAGCTTAGGACACTTACATCCAGAATAAATTATATTAGATCATTACGTCATCAATGTTTCAATCAATCAGAAGGCTAGTTCTCAGGGCAAATAACAATACAGTATGTGATTAGTCAGTTACAACGTAATCTAAGTTTCAAGTTGTAAGAAATAGAATTTGGCCACCTCTCATTGTCATTGATTACTGAGTTATTGTCGCCTTATAACGCCCTACTGACTCGCTTACAATTCACTCCTCTAATTTCTAATTATTAACGGCTTATTGTAGAAAGCTCATTACGTTTTCTATTGTGATTGGCCGATTCACTTATTGCGTTTTTCTATGTGTTTCTCGCTTAAGTATACGTACATAAATGTAAGATATAAATCAAGAACAATAATTATACCGGGAATTCGAGACTTTTTACGTCTATATATACCCGAGAAAAATGTTATATAAATAGACATATTTTATATGTCAATTTTTATATATAATTATGTATGAAACATTTTTTTCCCGGATAAAATCTACAAAATCTTGTTAACGTGCTTACTACCCTTATTGCAAACAAATTATTACTAATACTGTTTAAGCAAAAGTCATGAAAAATAAACACCTTTTATCCAGACGACCGAATGTCAACATGAAGAATTTGCGAGGCTGTGATCAACGATCAAAGATTGTTCCACGGGTAGTTTGTTGCGCGCTCGTTTGACGAGAGGTACCAACCCCCCGATCGTTTTGTCACTCGCAGTTCCGTCGTCGCACGTCGTTTGCATAAGTAAGCGTCAACAGGCGAGAGGACGTACAATGCGAAAATGCTATACGATACAGCCGGACACGCCGACTAGCGCCGTTGAACTTTAATATTACAAAAAGCTGTAATCCGGCGAGCGAACTACCTGGAGCGTTAACCTCGGGCGCCCAATTTATAAAAATAACGATGAAATTACTGTTGCGTGAAGTGTAGCGTCATACAGGACACCGATGCACCGGCGTTGCATCGCGCGCGAAAGGATGACGGCTATTCGGAGCGAGGAGAATCCGTCATCGGCTACCGGACCAACGGGGCGTCGTTGTTTTAGTCCGCGCTCGTGTTTTACGTTCGAAAAAATATGCGCACTGGCACGTGAGCTAATCGGTGGTAATAACGAAATCTCGAATCCGATTAATTAAAACGGCAGACGCGCGGCGCCGCTTCGAGAAAACGAGCTCTTGGAATTCTTCCGGTTGTACGTGTATGCGTGCGCCGATAGCGCGTATCGTCTCCTATCGCGCCGCGTCCGATCCTTCCGCAGCCTCCCCCTCCTTCCCCCCTCCCCCCGTTTTCCCCCTTTCGCTCTCGTTTTCCCGGAGGCGCTCTCCCGGAATAAATAACCGCGAAAATGTTCGTCGGAGATGAAATTAATTTTTTTTTTTTTTTTTTATACGCAGCAGGTTTCAAGAGTGATGCAATTTGCGTTATTGTGTATTAATAGCATTAGTGGCCTTGCGAAAAATTCCGATTCAATTATGAAACATCAATTGAGAGAAGCAGCCACGTATCCAGCTCGTCGTTACAATGCGATAAAATTCGGTGTGATGTTTCCATCAGCTTTTTATAAATTGGCTGTCTAACTGATCAACGAACTTTGCCAATGAGTAAAATAGATACAAATGTAATTTTCTACTAGTAATTTATCTGTCGCGCACATAATTGTTACTATTGATTAAATAATTAAATAACGTATAGGATACAGTGGGATTTTTTGGTCATTTTTCGTGATAACGTTCATGTTTCTGAATACATATTGAAAGGTTGTGCTTTTACTCAAGAAGTAATCATGTTTGTATAAATTTATAATTGTGGTTGTAAACACGTTACTACAAAGAAATATTACTTGCCATCGTAAATTTTCATGTTACTTTAAAAAAACTGAATAATTCCGTCCGGCCTTACTTTAAAAACTAGCGGTCTATATAATAATTCTCACTGTCTTGGCGTGAATATTAACAGCAATATGATTTTATCATCATCCGTTGTTGATATAAATACTAGAGGTTTGAAATCCACACCAAGTTAGTAAGTTAGTGTTACACTCATATCATATTGGTGTTTATATTAATATCAACACAGCGAGATGAATTATACAGACTTCGCATGAGTGTTAAATCCCACATCATGGCTGCAGGGGTGTGAAATACACACCGATATTTTTTAGAATGTTATATTATTAATATAACGCCGGTAGCTGATGAAATAAAACAAGTTTGGTAATGGCATTGATGCCATTTTTGCAGACGCCTCACGATCAAAGTAAGAACGTCAAGTATGATAGCGTCGTTACGATAATCGCGAGGGGGAAAAAGCGACGTCCAAGCGAGCACGTGTTTCGGTCCTCTGTTATTAGATCACGATGAATCACAGAAGAAGACGATTTTCCCCGCGCGAGCATCGTTCCCAGAAAGATGGAAGGGTCCATCCCGACAACCACTCGACTTCTATATCGTCCTCCTGCACCACCACCATCACCACCTTCTTCTCCTCCCTTACCTCCGCAATCCTCATCGAGCCGATGCTAACAATGTTTGCAGATATATTGCGTCTCACGCATCACTTGCTCCGCAAATTGTTTTATAAACAGATTATAGCGACAGCCGGGTCGCTACCACCGTAACGCTGGTAATATACCCCGAGACCAACCCCCGCAATCCTCCCTCAACCGCACACGCGGACCATTTCGTGCTCGAGAACGGCAGCGGCAACAGTCCTCAGTGAGGATCTTCTCCACACAATTGGAGAAGGAAACTATTATATATCTTGCGTGACCTTAAACCTATATTTCAAACGAATAAACGTGGAAATTCTTTTTAAAATTCTCTACATTACGAATTATCCTTGTTCATACGTCATATATCATATAAACGAAAACATTTGTAACGCTTACGTAGATTACATGAGTATTAATATAGTAGGTTGTAAAGCTTATTGTATCGAAAAATTTTTAATAATGTTACAAAATTGAATAATATGTACGCGTTCATGATCATTATCGAATAAGTCGCTTTGCGTATGATTCGATGTTATAAACATACTCGGTGATAATAGTACACGGCAATTTACGTTAAAACGAGTTTAAATTGGATTAATACGTATTGTAACTCTTGCGCTCAATGCGGGTTACATCGTGTAGTGCAACGCGCGTGAGGCAGAACCTCTAATAACGGAGTATTGGATATCGATAACGCGATACCAGTTTCACGAAAACAAGCGGCTGTACAATATGCAAAAATTTCCATTGGTCGATATAAACCAATATAGTCGTTGTATCTTCCTTATTGGTAGGAAAGATTGGTTTTGAAACTGTTCATTAAATTCTGAAGAAATAAAAAGTTAATTCAACCGCAAAATTTTGTTTAAAATACAAAAACATTGCAAAAATATGAAAATTAAAATAATTAAAATAATATTAAATAAATTTTGAAATTTGATTCATACTCCCAAATATATATTTTCTACATTTTGCATTTAAAAATGTAATTTTAGATTTACATTCTCAATGCATAATTCAGTTCACAGATGAAATGGCAGACATTTTTTTAAAACGTTGTTTGTTGTATTTCAAAATTACTAACTATGGCGAATCTTATAATAATAGGATAATTTAGATAAAAAAATATTTTTAACAAATGCGAGAGATATATAATTACTAATAATGTATCCTGGATATCTTGAGAACGATTGAAGGGACGGTTGTAACTAGTTAGGTGCCGACAAGAGCGCATCGAATTTCCTAGTTCCGGGAATGGGAAAAATCTGGCGGAATCGGTGAACGCGGCTCATTGGCTTGGTAATAGCGGTTACCCATTGCACGGAGCGGAACGCGGTCCTTATTGCGGTGAACCTGAGACTTAATGGCCTGTGACCCGGGCACGCCGTCGCTGCTTCAGTATACAGGGCGTTCACCAAGAGAGAGTACACGCCGAGAACTTAGTTATTCCTAGGAAGCCGGAAGAGCTAACGTCTCCGGCACCGCGACGCGCCTGCCGGGCGTCTCCGGTCGCGTGGCTTTATGGTCCCGCATAATCCTCCCTTCACGATCGAAATAGCTGTATCTCCTGCGTCCGTATGATGACTCCTTTGGCAAAGCTTTCCTGAGACATCGTGAAACATCTTTCATGCATCGGCGATTATGTTTGATTACTTGTACTGTATGCAAAGTTGCATTAAAGATTACAGAAGCTATGATGTCGTTCCTTTATTTCAAGAGTGACAATTGATTTTTGAACTAAACAAAAATGAAATTTTTTAGAAGAGGGGAAAACGTTCTTTTAACTTGACAGCTAATAATTGATAAATAATATAATAGCGATAAAAACAATATAATCTTAGATACGTCTGTCATTTTTGTTTCACAATCCTTAAAAAAATAATATACTTTTTGAATTATGATTTTGTTATCCTATAAAATTATAACAAATCTAGAATAATTCGTCGAAAGTGATATATCTCGATTATCATCAATAATTTATATTTACTTTTATCAACTAAATTCTAAAATGACTAAATTAAAAAAAAGTAATTTCTTCTCCAAACTGCAATCATCAAAATATGTTAACCATAAATGTTCTCTGGAGAAGAGTTTCCTTTTTATTTACAATTTTCCTTTTTACTTATAATTCAAAATATGTCACCCTTATAGAACGTATTGTGATCTCTTTAAAAAAAAACGACAAGTGCTATTCGACTGTAAAGTTAAGTTGATTTACTTTTAATGATTGATCAGTAATATTTACATAAATGTAACTTATTCAGTATAATAATTCAAAAATTACATTTTTCTAATTGTGTCACTTTTAAAATAAGAAAACGATATTACATGAAAATATTTTTTAATTTATGTCATTAAACGAAAAAACAAATAGTTTTTATTTCATAAAGATGTTCTTTGTTATATATATATATATTTGATTCGCTCAGTGAATTTGAAAAAATATTAAGCAAGGATTGTCCATCAGAAAGATTTGGAAAAGTTACTTTTACAAAACTTTAATGTTTATTATGAAACTTTTTTTTTAATCTTGAGACTTTTTAAATTAATGTACCGATATTTATGGTATATTAGTTCGATTTTCCGGCGTATTCTTTCTTTTCTTATCGTTTTCCTGCCGAAGGCAAAACTACCTCTTCGAACCGATCATTAAAGCGGCCCCAAAAAAGAGAGAGAGAGAGAGAGAGAGAGAGAGGGGCGCCCAGTAGCGCGACCACGAAATGTGCCCCGCACGATTACCTACCCAATCTCGAATATAATTTTCTTATTAGCTATAAAATCCAATCAACGTCGACGTTGCCTAGCCGCACGTCGAGTTAGCCGACCCTTCGTCATTCCCTTCTCTCTCGGGATTTTGCGCGCGAAACAAGCGGAACAAGGAGGAGGAAACGTAGGAAAACGCGATGAAGGTGGAAGGAAAGAGAGAAAGAGAGGGTGAACAGAGAAACGGAAGCTGCCTCGGAAAAGCGGAAGGTCGACGGTAGCAAGGGAGGAATCAAGTTAACCGGGTCTACCGCTCTTTCTCACTTATTTCGCAGGCCGCACATAATGCGATTCCCGCGACCGTCTCTGATGTTGTGCCGTGGCTGCAGTCAACCAACCCCCAACCCCCGAAGGCAAGGCCGCCATGAACTGGCCCTGCCCTTTGTTTTCTGCGCGGTCCTTCCAATTATACCTAAATAAAAGAGCGCACAGGAAACAGACCTCGTTCTCGTTCTTGCCCCTGTTCTTCTTCTTCTTCTTCTTCCTACTTCTTCTTCGTACTGCTATCTCATCCCGTAGTTTTCTTGGTTCTTGAGACTCTTGGCCTCTTCATTATACCGTCGCTCGAGAGTTTTACGATATGGTTTTTGAGTGGGAAATCTCATAGGCGGAGTCTGGCCAAGTCTGTAGTACGAGACTCTGCACAAGGATAAAAGTTAAGATAGAGAACGTCCACCTGCAATCTTTATGATGAAATAATATTAGATACGTGGATATCGTGCAAAGATATGAAGATAAGAAAAATTACAGTTATTCAAATAAAAAGCGGAAATAAAGTAAAGGGAAAATACATTTAATATCTTTAAATTTTCTAGAAGTAACAAGTAAAGATCATTGAAGACCATTTAAACGTAATTTTATATAAGTGATTAAATTACAACTATCTTTAATATATGAATTACAAATATATATGATTCTCTGCTTCAAAAGTGACACAACTCAAAAAATGTACAATAATATTCTAACAATCATCAAAATCACTTAACTTCACAATTCGTTCGTCAAATAATACATGTATTGTTCTTAAAAAGATCGTAATATTTTCTACAAGAGTGATACATTATATATTGTGTCATTTTTGCAAAAAAGGAAAAACTTCTACAAAGAATATTTAAACTTAAGATAATTTTAGTGATCGAAGTTTAAAGAAGAAATTATGTTTTATTTAATTTGAATGATGAACATAAGTATATAAACTATTATAATATTTCAAATTATGTCACTTTGATGAACTATTTTGAATTTCTTATAATTTTATAGGATATCAAAATTGTTACAACACAAAAAGGTATTTTAACTTGTGAAATGAAAAATAACATTTTGTTATGATTCTAAGAATATATTCCTTTGCCGATATTATTTGATCAATCAATAATTTTCTATTAAGTTAGAAAATAGTTTTACCTTTTTCTGAAAAATTTAATTTTGTAAGTTGTGTTACTTTTGAAATAAGGGAACAATGTGTATTAAAACGTTACTCGTAAAAACTCATGTAGCTCGATTGAAAAATAAAAATAAGGTTAAAAGGTCGTCAGAGAAAATATTATATTTTAAAGAGAAATTATGGTCAATGAGTCCGAAATAAAATTTTAAACGTTACTAGTGGATGACAGAATAAATAAAATGTCTTTTCGATCAAATTTACGTCTAAATAATAAAGAATAAAAATAACTAGCCTCTGAGCCACCGAAGATGAACGACAATTGTTGTCATGGTCTTGCCTTTATGGTCTTACCCTCTCTACCCTTCTTCAGAATTATTGTATTCTTCTCGTTGATACGTTTCCACCGGCCTACCGCGGAAGGGAATAATGGGCGCATCCTGCTGCAGGACATTGAATGGAATAAGAGAAGGACCGTCATACCTTACGCCAGGATCTCCGTTAAGGGAGAGGCAGTGCTTCCCTCCTCTTCTATGCGCCTCGCTGAATACAGAGAGAGAGAGACCACGAACTTGAATCAATTAAAGTTTAATCCGGAACCAAGATCGCGGAGAAATTTGCCCCCTTGTCCACGTCTCTCGTCTTTCTGTTCCGTTACTCTTTTCCTGCGTTCTTTCGTCTTTTTCTTTTGCGTTTCTGCTTTCGCATCTCTAGAATACATTAGTCGACAATGTTGAAACATCGACAACTTTTACGTACTTTAAAATGCAATCTTACACGAAATGATATCGAAATTGTTATTTCAACATCACTAATTTTGATGCAGAATTTTTGAAAAGTCAAATTTTTTTTTATATGTGCCAAACAAATATCGATAAAAATAAGGAATTGTTATTAATACAAGAAAGAATGCTAAAATATCCAAAAATTTAGCTATAGATGCATATCTGAAAATAATTTTGTTGGACTAGAAAAAAAATTATGTGGAACACTCATTTGTAGATCTGTATTTAGTTTAGATTTTTAGATATTTCAGAAAAAAATAAATAAAAAAAATAAATATCGCACTGTTAAAAGATGTCTCAAATGACAAGAAATAGTGAGAAATGTAAAAGAGAGAGGAAAGAGATGGAGATAGAAATCAAGAAAAGACAGAGAGAGGACGAGAGCCAAATTGATGAGCGTCTTTTCAAGGACACGAGGGGGTCTGCATGGCGGGAGGCTCCCAAACTGTATCGCTTACGCGAAGGGCTCCCTTGACAATAGGGATTCGCAACGAGCGGAAAGAGTAGTTATTCGTAATATGGGGTGACGCGTGCTGATGAGTCGAGCCGGAAGTTTCGATCGTGCCGTCGAGAAATCTCCCCTGGCCATCTCTATTCTTCGTTGAAAACGATTATGATTCTTCAATCACGCATTCTCTGTTTAATTATACCGAGCCGAAATATTATCGTAAATTTATAATTAAAACACTATAAGAGCGAAATAATTAGGCACCATTTGGGTGAATTGGATGTAATAGAGATATATTTGAACGTAATATGTTCTATGAGGAAACGCTTTTGATTGAAACATTGCACTATCTTTCTCACGCACTTCACGCGATTATAAAACGTACATTCTTCGCATCCGCAATCTTGATGCCTGCGACTTTTCATTCGTACCGCGTGAAACAATAGGTTTCGACTCGCAAGAATGCATCTGCTCTCCGACCCGTTTGCCTATAAATGCACCAAGTACTATCGCTGACTCGCGCAACAATACTTCATTTTTCCATCTCTGGGACAAAAGTACGTTAAATCTTATTGTTCTTGTGTCGGTAATTAAGGCTAAAGAATTAGCCAGCGATTGTTCCTTACAGTACCGCCGGATTCGCGAAGATAACAAATAAGATTCCTGAGAAAGTTCGTCTCTCGATCGCATTCTCCTATAAATTAATATACAAAATGAAATCTACATATATATAATCTTAAGGAATGCATTTTTACGATGCTAGAATTGCTGTTGCAACGGTATTTACATAATGCCGACAGCAATTGCTTAAGTGTCTTTTGTTTTAACATAACTGAGATGTGAATTTAACTTTTTTCAGATAAATATGAAGATTTTAAGTAATTCTAATTTGTATTTTTATTAAAACAAAACAGTAATAAAAAGTTCCTTACTTTCCTTGATGTTTAATATTGTATCTATTTCGAAATCTTAAAAAATGAACAATATTCTCATAATAATATGTATCTTGTATTTTTATTTTTGCATTAAAAATATGGACAATTTCTTAATTATTCATAAATATTATAATAATAAATTATAATTGTAAATGAACTATATCTCAAAACCGCAAAGGATCAATTCGTAATCTCACTGTTTCTTTAGGAAACATCTCTCGTTCGATATTTCATTTCGTCAAATCGTCCAATAGAGAAGTTACAGATCGCAAAAACTTGTCTGCCCGGCCAGAACAAAAAGACAAACTTTTCTACGCCATAAAAGCGATCTGGCGATCGTTCGGTCCTCCTGCCTCAGTCCCGAGAGTGCCTCGACTTACTTTCCTTTTTCCCTCCGACGAACTTTTCGAGCGAGAACAGTCTTCGAAACGTGCATTCCGTAAAAAACGTTTCTTAAATTACTACGATGAACTTTTACGAGGTAAGACGCCAAGTCGTTACGTGGTTTCGGATTTGCCTCAATCTTGACAGAATCTAGATCGTTAAGCAGAGCAATGATGTAGAACTTCTTTTCTCACTTTAGCAAATTTTGTCAAAATATCTAATACTTGCAGAGAATCTGGTCATAATGAAATTATAATATTTGTGAGAATTGATCAATCAGTATCAATCGAATATTCTTCTTATGTTCAACTGTGATTGCTCAATTCTTACAATTACACCACTTACAATTACACTTTCGTCATTGTAAAATGGACTTTACTAAGCGAAAATCGACCGAGAAATGTTAAAGACCTGTTAAATATGCGAAGAAAGTCATATTCGTTCAGGTCTTGCTGCTTAATTATTAGTTTTATGTGAATTTTGAATTTCAAAGTCGTAAATTGTGCCTATTATTTGATATTAACAGACACACACACACACACACACACACACACACACATACACACAATTCTAAACTAAAGCTAGAGTAATACATAATATTACGAATTAAATTAACAAATAATTACTAATACTAATAAGCATTTTTAGATATTAAGACTTGCTTTGACCGAATATGGTCTCTTCTTCGTTTATGTGTGTTAAAATTATATTTTACACACGCAAATTATAGGACTATTCTGATCAATCGCTCATGTGAGAGACTGATGCGAAAAAATATTAATGAAAAACGTTTTGTTCTTTTGAATACCCGCAGGCTGTGCGATGTGAATTAATAAATTATGTGCAAACCTTCCTCCCCGATACTGACCACTTTTTCCAACGCATTTCGTTTCAATCTCCATATTCAGATAAATATTTTCGCCTAATTGTTAGTTAATAAGCCGTAAAGCATGGAAAAATTAATAATTTTCGTATAAATGGAACGTAATAATATCACCCGCTATAAATCGTATTACGAGGGAAAAAAAGCCGAATGTCCGCTGGGGCTGATCTGGTGGATGGAAGGATACTGTATACGCAAATCGGGATCGCTCATATAAAACAATTCTACGAAATGCTCTTTAGATTAAAATGCGTGCAAAATGAGAAGCGCAAATTGCCGTATGAATTGTTGGCTTATTATCGAATGCGCCGTTCGTGAAAGTAATATTCGTATTTCAAAAATGAAGAATGACCGCGCACCGTGAAAAGTGCATTTTACGAGCTCGTTACACGACCTGGCATAAATGCAAAAATCTCCGGTTACGCGTATGGTAATCGAGAACGTTCGCAGAATAATTCTCTTCTCCTTCACGACGGCGAATCTTCACCGTCGTTGTATCCGCTGCGCGGAAAAAGTCAATCTGCATACTCCACAGCGTCCGTCGGAAGGAAATCGCTCTGACGGTTGTCGATCGAGCGTGACGAAGCGCCTGTACGATTTCCCGGCTCGTTGGAAAAATCGTTACGGCATTCGTGACCGGCTTAATCGTAGTAACGACGCAAAACTCAAAATGTCATTTTATCATCTCGCAAGTATCAAAGTATACTCGTTATTTTGTATCATTCTTCAATATTTTATTTTTTTAATTCTATTTCCAATGTTACATATTATGTCGTCGTTGAAAATCGTGCAGTTTTATAATTGGCGCGCCATGAATAATATTGTAATATTCGTAATAACATTCTACGCGAATCATGTTATTTTTATTATCTTATAAGTTATAAACGATATTCGTATTTTTTTCAAATAAGTGAAAGAATCCTATTGCTGGTTGAAATAAATCTTGGTGCCTGATAATGTTTATATGCAACTTTTGACTTCTTGAATTTGAAATGCAATCATAAACTACCTAAAGTCAAAAATAATGTGATTAAATCGCTCATCAATTTAATAATAATTTTAATAACTATTCTTCAAATGGTACAAAGAATTTATTGTGCGAAAAAAAATATCTCGATCGCTATTTGAACCTGCACGGGAAGAACAGTTTTACTATAAGATTTAAAAATTTAACTAAATATAGATCTAAAAATAATTTGTTAGACCATTAATAAAAATAATTATGAAGGACACTTAAAATGGTTGAATATCTAATGGCTAGAATATCTAATATGAAGTTTTAGCAACATCATACTTGAGCGTCCAATATAATTACTTAGATACTCCAATAAAATCGTTCTTTTCATATATAGATCTTCCTCCGTCATGCAAGCGTTTTATTAATTCGATTACTTGTATTTTTTATCATACCATAATATTTTATTTTTTAATGTTATACTCCTAACGTGCGTATCGATTACGCTACATTATGTCATTGAAAATCACCTGCTGTCTTCGCGGTTTTACAGCTGGCGCGCCGCCATAAATAAAAAATACTAAAAATCGCTCTCCAAATATATCTGTTTATTTCTGGGCATCTTGCAGGTACAGTTGTATGTTCAATTTTCGGTAAAGCGAACTTGGCTTTCGAGGCACGCGCATTTCCAACAATAGGAAGTTTACCTAAGTCTCTCTCAGCTGTCAGCACGCGCTGATTCGCGAAATCAGCGAGATCCGCGCGTTCCCACGTGCCTTGTTCGAAAAATTCGTGCGAAGTGTTCGAATGTGCCCTGTTTGTCTCCCCGGTCGTAGTATCGGCCGTTTATCAAATAGCTGCAGTTAATCCGGTTACGGGCGGTCGCGCAAGGCGGCGGAAGATCGCAAAAGGGAAAAGCGGAGGGAGGGTTATGGGGGGGAGGGCGGATAGAACGGGGATTCGCTGATTGCAGCAAGTAATGATGGAGGCCGAGGGGTGTGCAGTAGTCTGGAAGTAAGTAAAAATTTTAAATTTAGTTACACAGCTCTCGCGCGCGACCCCGACTTGGTCATCGTCATCGAGGTTTGCGAATGCCGCGAATGTATGGCGGAAAGGGAATGAGTCAGCGAGTCGATAATAGTGTGACTACGTAATAACAATGACGATGTCATACGTAAGGGCAATCTCGTGAAATATTATAAGTGTATATTTCATGATTCGAAGAGACTCATGATTCGTAAGACGTATAAAATAATCTAGAAAAAAGTATTGTATATTTGAAACAGGAATCTGCTGAACGTGACGTTCAAGATATATATAAGTAAACATTT